TATGTCTTGTAAAAAATAGTTTGTAAAATTCACTTACCCCATCAAATACTTAGTTCCAAACCATCTTTGAGTGAACATTACATCTTCAAAGAAAGTCAAATCATTGTGATGACCAAGGTCCTGCAAAATATTTTCAGTGTCAGTCACTGTAGAAGACGACTGGCTGGATTTGACTTGACAGTAGGAAATCAGGAACTTTGACTTGTCAGGCAGTGGTGTGTAGTGTATGACATCCCTGCCCCCCAACCCAGTGGGGAATGAAATTACATACAGTTACAGGATATGCATCATGACAGCTGCCTTGTATTCACACATCAAGTCACATCATAATTGTCATCATTTCACCTGTATCAATCCTGACTGAGAACCTCAGTTTCAGGTAATGTCAGAGGAACTATGTTGGCAAATCTTTCTGATCAGGAACTACTGGGCTGTGGAAATGCTAGAAACAGGCCATGTATCAGATCTCTGAAACTCACTGGATAGGTTTCAATTCATGAAAGCCATCATACATTTAAACAGACAGTTACATCATATCAACTTAATCTATCCAGAGCCAAAATCTCAGGGTCAGGTAGTTTCTAATGGCAGCTCTCTTATCAGTTAATGCTGGCCTTAACTACATGCCAAAAGCAATACATGTATGAGGTCACTGCACCCCCCTGGGATGCATCATATTACATGTCAGGAAAGGATTTGTGACAGTTGCTGGCATTTTCAAAGAGGATGACTTCATTGAAAGTTCCACATAGCCATGCATAGGTGGCATGGGGTGATGAGAGATTTCTGGCATGTTTTATCCTAGTCATTATCTGTCCCCGGGCCCAAAGTAGGTGATTCCAGTCTATATAAAATGCACCTTGAATCAGATTGTTCCCCTCATCCCATCAGTGGGCACTTCAGTCAATCTATGGCCTACACAAATTTGCCACACTGCATTTACATTTAATGATATCCTGATCACCAAAAATATATCCCAACCTTCCAAATATTCTCATTTAAAATGAATCCCAATTCTGCTTATCCTCCTGAAAGTTATTCACAGTCACAAAGACAACAGATAAACAATAGGATCTTTGCCCAACACAGAGAAGTACAAGTTTCCCCTCAATAGGTGATTTCTATGTGCTGAGAATGAGTGAAAAACAGCAGAGAGAGTTCCACCCACTGGCTCCAAACCCCCAGCCAATTGATCAAACCACACATCAACTGAGTCAAATAATAAAGGATATCCATTCAATGAATTTAAATAGGACACACATGAACAATTAGTTCTTGATTCATGGGAAACTGTCTTGCATTGGCTTCCAAGGGGGATATGAACATCAAAAAACAGCTGGTCAGTCAGTGCTCTTGCCACATTTTCTCTTGCATATCAGCTGGTCAGTCAGTGCTCTTGCCACATTTTCTCTTTGTTACAGGATTTTATACCTGGTGTGATGATGTGACCCCCAAAGAACTCCAAGAAGACCAAGAAATTCAGAGGAGGCTTGTGGGTCATGATTTGGTGATTCAGGAAAGGGTCCAGCACTTCTCTCAATCAGAATTTGAGGAGAATCAGAAGATCCGGAGAGAAAATGGAATACCTGGATGGTATGATGATGATTGGAATAATGCAAGCA